AACTTGGAAACACAACACAAATCCACGTTGTGCCAAATCCTTTGTTTTGGAAAGAGCACACCCAAACATCCGGGGGTGGTAGTGAATGGGACTGTCTTTTTCTGCAAAGAGGCCAGATGGGTTTATCATTTAGAGGCTCCGAAACATCCTGGTCTCAATGTAGTGAGCTACAAACCTTTTTTTTCTGATTTTTCTTTTTTTTTTTGCTTTGTTTGTTTTTGTGAAATAGTGTTAGCCCTGTGGGTAATATCTATATTTTTTCTATTCTTAGTGGTGATATACTAAACACGGGATACCAATTATTATACAATGTACATGTTTATATAATATGGTAAACGTTATGTATTAATGCTGTATTCAATCTGTAAATGCCATATGGCTGGGACCTTTAGTGGACAATAGGATTTGATCATTACGGTGCTTTAAACACTCTGGGAACAGTTTGGGGATGTCCCTTTCCTGTTCCAACATGACTGCGCACCAGTGCACAAAGCAAGGTTCATAAAGACAAGGACGAGAGAGTTTGTGGTGGAGGAACTTGCTGGCCTGACCTCAACCCAATAGAACACCTTTGGGATGAATTAGAGCAGAGACTGCGAGTCAGGTCTTCTCATCTGACATCAGTGCCTGACCACACAAATGCGCTTCTAGAAGAATGGTCATCACTCCCATAGACACCCTCCTAAACCTTGTGGACAGCCTTCCCAGAATAGCTGAAGCTGTTTTAGCTGCAAAGGATGGGCCAACTCAATATTGAACCCTACGGAATAAGACTAGGATGCCATTAAATGTTCATGTGCGTCTAAAAGGCAGGTGTCCCAATATTTTTGAGAACACACACACACAACACATGGAAATAAGTATTTGATCTCCTGCTGATTTTGAATGTTTGCCCACTCACAAAGAAATGATCAGTCTAAAAATCGAATGGTACGTGTACTGAAACAGAGAGACAGGATAGCAACAAAAAATTCAAAAGAAATGCATGTCTAACAAATTATGCAGTGATTTGCATGTTGATGTGGGAAATAAGTATTTGATCCCCTATCATTCAGCAGGATTTCTGGCTACCAGATGTCTTTCATACAGGTAACAAGCCAACAGGGGATTTGTCACCAAGTACCAAGTCATGTTTTGTGAAGAGGATCAAGTACATATTCCCTCATGAACATGCAAATCAGTGCATAATTTGTTAGACATGCATTTCTTTTGAATTTGTTGTTGCTATTCTGTCTCTCAGTGTTATAATACACCTACCATTTGATTTTTAGACTGATCATTTCTTTGTGAGTGGGCAAACCTTCAAAATCAGCAGGGGATCAAATACTTATTTCCTTCACTAATAAATAAATAAATTATATATAAAAATATATATATTTTTTTAATTACACACACTTATTTTTTTTAATCAAATATAGCGCAAATCATACTTCATCTAACAACTCTTCTCAACTCTATTGCACATCTCGAGATCTTTGTGGATCTATTCTCTGCATGTGGATCTCAGTCATATTACTACACTGTTTTTCTGGTCTACGCTCTCATCCAAACTAGGCATGACAACTGTTATAAACTTAACAAGATACATTTATCATGCTAATATTTTAATTACTTATGTTGATATCCTGTTTAACAATGTCACAAGTCATCAGTATTATAATCCAATACATCAAGTTAAAAAAAAAAAACCTTTATCTGATGTTATGTATGAGATAGAAGCTACACACGCTGTATTTGATGAGCAAATTTTGATCCGTTTCAATATTTGTATAATATATAATTAAAAAAACATTTTTACATACATGATATTGTGGTACTGTTAAAAGCCCTATAGTTTTTTTTCTTAGGTTTGTTTTGTTTGGATATTTTTGATCAAAAGTGTAGGCACAATATAAAGGGGGGGGGGGCAGTAAAATTACAGTACAGAAGGAATAAGTACAGTTCTTAGGTGGAGGTGGGGTAGGCTTCCCTGAACAAATGAGTTTTCAAGGATGGTGGACAGGGTAGGAGCTGACTGGACATACTGGGGCAGGATGTTTCAGAGGATGGGAGAGGCTCTGGAGGTGAGCGTGGGAGGAGGTAACAAGGGAACTGGAGAACATGTCTTTGGAGGAGCGGAGAGGATGGTTTGGGCAATATCTGCAGATGAAGTTGGTGATGAAGCTTGGGGTGATATTGTGGATGGATTTGTATGTTTTGGTTAGTATTTTGAATTTTATATGTTGGGCAAGTGGAAGCCAGTGAAGAGATAGGCAGAGAGGAGCAGCAGTAACAGACCAGTTAGTAAGGTGTATTTGTCCAGCAGCAGCATTCATAGTAGACTGAAGGGGGGATAGCCTGTGTAGGGGTGGGCAGGTGAGAAGGGAGTTGCAGTAGTCAGTAGTCAAATAACCAAGAGTGAATAAGCTGTTTTGTGATGCTGTTAGTCAGGAAGGGGCGAAGTCAGGAAGGAGTGAATTCTGGAAATCTTGCAGAGGTTAAGGAGGCAAGATTTACCAGCGATTGGATGTGGGGGCTGAAGGAGAGGTCAGAGTCTAGAATTACACCTAGCACCCTGGCGAGTGTGGAGAGACCAATGGTTATGCAGTTGATCTCAATGGTAAAGCCATGGGGAGGGGAGCAGGGAGGAGGAAATATTACAAGCTCAGTTTTAGAATTTGAGGAAGAGGTGTGACATCCATAATAAGTAGCTCAGTAAGTCTGTGATACGCAAGGAGATTGAAGGGGTGAGTTGGAGTCGAGAGATAAATCTATCATCAGCATAAAGGAGGTATTGGAAGACATAGGAGGTTATCAACTGGCCCAGTGAAGAGATACAGAGAGAGAAGGAGAGGCCCAATGTTGGAGCCTTGGGGTACTACCCTACAGAAAGAGGTAGAGGAGCATAGGAGATGGTACTGCACAGTGCCTTGAACATTTCAACATTTAGTCATGTTACAACTAAAAATGTAAATGTATTTTATTGGGATTTTATGTGATAGACCAACACAAAGTGGCACATATTTGTTAGGTGGAAGGAAAATGATAAATGGTTTTCAAACTTTGTTAAATATAAATATCTGAAAAGTGTGTCATGCATTTTTTTTTATTCAGGCCCTCTAAGTCAATACTTTGTAGAATCACGTTTTACTGCAATTACAGCTGCAAGTGTTTTTGGGTATGTTTCTACCAGCTTTGCACATCTAGAGAGTGACATTTGTGCCCATTCTTCTTTGCAAAATAGCTCAAGCTCTGTCAGATTGGATGGAGAGTGTCTGTGAACAGCAGTTTAAGTCTTGCCACAGATTCTCAATTGGATTTAGATCTGGACTTTGACTGTGCCATTCTAACACATGAACATGCTTTAATCTAAACCACTACATTGTAGTTCTGGCTGTATGTTTAGGGTCATTGTCCTGCTGGAAGGTGAACCTCTGCCCCAGTCTCAAGTCTTTTGCAGACTCTAGCATTTTCTTCTAAGATTGCCCTGTATTTGGCTCCATGCATCTTTCTATCAACTCTGACCAGCTTCCCTGTCCCTGCTGAAGAAAAGCATCCCCACAACATGATGCTGCCACCATCATGTTTCAGGGTGGGGATGGTGTGTTCAGGGTGATGTGCAGTGTTAGTTTTCCGCCACACATAGCGTTTTGCTTTTAGGCCACAAAATTCAATTTTGGTCTCATCTAACTACAGCACCTTCTTCCACATGTTTGCCATGTACCCCCACATGGCTTCTTGCAAACAGGACTTCTTATATCAGGGTTTCTCAACCAGGGTTTCATGAAGCCCCAGGGTTGCTCCAGAGGTTGGTAGGTGTTCCTTGAGCAATTTGTCTCTAAGTTCCCACTAACACTACTGATCTTTTTAGCCATATCTATAAGGCGGTAATTCTTCCCAATGACCACAAGTGTAAAAAGCACTCTTCCCACTGACCATCATACTAACATATTATGAGCTGTAGATATAGTACATTTTTAGCAGGGGTTCCCTGGAACCAGAAAGTTATTTCAAGGGTTCCTCTGTGTTGAAAAGGTTGAAAAAGGCTGTCTTATGGCTTTCTTTCAACAATGGCTTTCTTCTTGCCACTCCTCCATAAAGGCCAGATCTGTGGAGTGCAAGACTAATAGTTTTCCTGTGGAGAGATCCTCCCACTTGAGCTGTGGATCTCTGCATGTCTTGGTAGGTTTGCAGTTGTGCCATACTCCTTCCATTTTCGGATGATGGATTTAACGGTGCTCTGTGAGATGTTCAAAGCTTGGGATTTTTTTTTTTTTTTTTTTTTTAAAACCTAACCTGGCTTTAAACTTCCCAACAACTTATCCCTGACCTGTCTGGTGTGTTCCTTGGCCTTCATGATGCTGTTTGTTAACTAATGTTCTCTAACAAACCTTCGAGGGCTTCACAAAACAGCTGTATTTATACCTAGATTAAAATTACTCACAGGTGGACTCTTTTTCTAATTAGGTGGCTTCTGAAGGCAATTAGTTCCACTAGATTTTAGTTTGGGGTATCAGAGTAAAGGTGGCTGAATAGAAATGCACGCCACACTTTTCAGATATTTGTAAAACATTTTGAAATCCATTTATAATTTTTCTTCAACTTCACAATTATGTGACACTTTGTGTTGGTCTATCACATAAAATACA